TGTTGTTGTTAAGAGAAATTTTAATAACTTAATCTCAGATATTTTTCTTTCTTATTCCTTTATATTAAAATATTGCTTAGTGGCATAAAGATCATATCTAATGCTATTGTTATTTGGATCTAACTTTAAGGCAGCTTCTAGTTCGGGAATTCCATGCTGTGGTGCCGATAATTTGCAAAGTGCAGCACCTCGACGAGCATGACACTTTACTCGTGACATTCTGTTACTTTCACACTTTGGTTCCATCAACTCCAATACCTAGAAAAACAATTTCTTTCTTAATAATTGCAATTTTGCTATTTTCTTACAGTACGAGTCAAAATATTTATAAAAAGACACATTTTTTATTTGATTCTCAAACAATTTCTTCCTTTTACAAAAAAAAATTCATCTTGCAATATACAATTGTACTTTTTTAAGCAACTATATTTTTTTACATGGATTTATCTCATTATTATATTTATGAAGTAAGATAAAGTATATATTAAAATAAAATAAGTAAAAAATATTTTACGAGATATTTATTATTATATCTTATGACAAAATGTGTCAGAATGAAATATAAAATAACTTCTAAACTAACAATTTCTAAGCATAACTTTATAATAGTTTTTTATAAAGGATTAAAAATTGCAATGATTAATGCAGTGAAAAAAAATTTTACTTATTATAATGTTTCTATTTCGGCTTTATTTTTACTGCATGATTTTTGTATGATTGGCTACAAGTACATATGAAATTATTTTTTTCATATTGCGCGAATTAATTTTCTTTGCAGAAAAAATTTCCGAATTCTGAAGAGATTGTTTCAAGCGAATCTAAAGAACATCAACAAAATTATTAAATCATTTTAAAACATCTTGGATTTCTATTGAAATGATTTTTTTTTATAAAGATTTGCCAGTGCTTTTTGACTGTCATTTTTCTGTAAAACTCAGAGCAAAGACAGGATTTAGAGAATCATTTTCGAGAGACGATGAGTCCATGAAAGTTTCCCTTCATATGTCTACAGATTCAGCGGATTCAAAAAGATTCAGATATCTACAAAAAAAAAGAGAGAAAAAAAACAACTTCCACCGTTATCATTAAGGAGAAAGAAAACTCAAGAATTTCGTCTGCTTGTCATCAAAGAAGGTAGAAGATCAAGAGATGTATAATAGGTATTCCAAAGAGAACTGGGGGATGTCTTGAAATCGACATTGGGGAAACTAATTATCCCCTTTGAAGAATGCTATTCTGTCCTGTAAAAACAATACCAAATTTTCCAATGAAAATAGATTAAATTCCAGAAAGGAACGGAGCCCGGTAATTGCGATAGCAACCTGAAGAACAACAAGAAATCATCTTGGTGCTCTGGAATCTATTCCGGAAGAAAAAAGAAAATCTTATTGGAGTATTGGTATTCCCCTGGGTGGATTAACGAGACAACAATCTTGGAGAGGGAGAATAATGTTGCATCTTTGTCTTCTTATTTCAGAGTGTCAGCTGAATTATGATCATAACCGATCGTGTTGATAAGTAAAGGAGAATGTTTAACAATAAATGTTTTATTGACGAAGCAAAGATAACTATCATTGACAAAAGAGAGATTTATGGTTGGATTTTTCGTGAGCAAATAAAATGTTTTGAGCTCTTTACTAAAGAAAGTGTTACTCTCTTCCCTGCGTACTGTCATTTATTTTCTGTAATTAATTTATGTATATATAGAGTGTCTCATTTTAAATAACGATCTTGAATAGTGCGTTTTAAACAAAAATGTTTTACAATGTTTGACAAATCTCTTTTTTGAAGTGTTGAGTGCAACAATATGTTTTTCTTTGTCCTTTTAATTTTTTAAAAAACATGGAAAATATTACTAAAAAGAATATTTTGTATATAAGAGTATTACTGTAATTTCTATTACCTTAGAACAATCATCAATGCATCTGTAATAATTTCCAAGAGCATAATGAGCAGCAGATCTGTTCATATAAAGTGCCACCATTTTATCATTGATTTTTATTCCATATGTATATGCACTGATAGCAGCTAAATAATTTCCCACTTTAAAGAAATCACTATAATATAAAATAATTAAGATTCATAATTCATTTTAACAATTAGAAAATATGCGATAAAGCATGCTTTCCTCAACATACTCGCCCTTGTCTTTTAACCACTGAGGATCCTGTTCTTCAGGACGAAGATTTTCGACAACAAATCCTGTTTTTCTTCTAGTTTCCGCTTGTTTGGAAAGCCACTGAAGCAAACTGTATTTGAAACATAAACACACACGCACACACCACATGCAAAAAATTGGCCACATTTAGTACAATTTTGTAACATCTTTTAATAACAAAGAATCGTATCGAGAACGTAAATCAAACGTAATCAGAACGTAAATCAAATTAAAGCTTAAATATTTTTGTTGTTAATTAAAAGAATTAAAATTGAGGTAAAAAAATTTTATAAAATGACAATCGTTGTAGACAAATCTTGAAAAATGGGAAAAAAATGGTACACTACTTAGCTATCAGAAATCACCAGATCACTAGATTTAGTCGTTTCTAATAGTTGAGCAGTGATCATTATTTCAAGAATTATTTTACACTTTTACGTGATTTATTGGACAGATATCTTACTTTTCAGTATTTTTTACAAGTTTTAAGAATACTAAAATATCATGTTTTTAAGAGAAAAGTACAAAATAAAGCTATACGATGCAAGAAACTTTTTACATGTCATTTCTTTGACGTCACACAACTCATGTCGCGCCCCGAAAGAACCGAACTTTAATGTTCGCCATTTTCTAAAATGTTTTATAATCCAAATTTTGGTTTTCTTGATTATCTAAAAGAATATTCAAATTTAATTTCACTTCAATTTCAGCTTTGATTCATCTCAATACGATTTTTTTCTGAGTTATTGCTATTGAGAAATTATGTTAGAAAATTATGTTAAAAACTTATGTTAAAATTTGGTGGCTGATTTTTTGCAGATTAGTGTATATGTGCACGTACGCACACAATTTTTTTATCTTAAGACTTTGCTAATTGCATTTTATATAATTTTTCTAAGAAAAAATAGATAAAAAGATAAAAAGAAAAATAAATTCTCGCTGAAAAAAGGTTATTTTTATCAAACTTTTTGTGTCTTTCACAAAAACAAAAATTTTATAATTTTCTAAGAAAATATTTAGTCTACAATTTGCAATTAAAGATACATACTTCTTGTTCTTCAACGAAAGAACTCTCCCTAGCCGGAGTGGGAAAAGCCCGATCAGAAAAAATTACATTAATTATTCCACATTTTCTAGGGAGTGGAATTGTTTTCGCAGGATCATTGAATATTTCATTTATTTTTGAATATCGATTCTTGAATATTCTATTAATCAAGTTTTGACTTGATTTGTGCTTATTCATTTTCATATTAAATTTTTGTGAAAGTTTCTGATGCATTTCTTTATTCAAAGAATGCGTTGAAGATTTAAAAGATATAATTTCATTATTTAATTCGGAATCTTCAGAAGAGCTAGAATATTCTTCAAGATTAATATTCTTGCTCACAGATGTTACTGTTGTATTTATCTTTATATCTATTTCTTCTTTGGTATTCTTGTTGAGAATTGCGTTTCCTTTTAAATTTGTTTGATTGTTTATTTCTGTCTTTAAATTTTCTTTGATTCTTAATTCTTTCTCTAAATCTTTTTCAATATTTAATTTATTCTTTAGTTTTTCTTCAATCGCTAATTCTTTTATTATTTCTCCCTCAACGATCGAACCGTTCTTATAATTCCTTTCAACAATATGTTCTTTCTTTATTTGTTCTGCAGCCATTAATTCATTTTGTTGCTTTTTTTCTATTTCAATTTCTTTAATCATTTCTTCTTTTTTGTCAGTTTCCAGAGATTGCATAATATCGAGATCATCCTTAAACCACTTAAGAGGATACCTTAGAAAAATTTTTAATTAAATATCCTTGTGTATGTACTCTTAATCAATATTACAATCTTTATGGAACATCCTGAGCGCGCACACACATACACACACACATATACACACATAAGATATCCCATGAAGACCGTAATATGTGTAAGGGTAGATTCTTCAGATTATTTTATATACATATATATATATATATATATATATAAATATATATTAAAGTTTAATTATTACATATATTTTATATATATATAAAAATTTTTCTATAGAATTATATATTTTTCAATATTATTTTTTTATAACATTCTAAAAATATGTCTATCACTAAATATTCCTGATTATTATAACGTTTTGGGAAGCTAATGTTTTTTTTTAAACAATACCTATATGTTTTCCTATTCTTTTGCACTTTGCCAGAAATGTCCTGAAATATCGGTATTTCTGTATTTGATCGCCATTCTTCAAAATCTTGCATCGCAATTTTTCGATGTGAATCTTTCAGTGCTTCTATTCTATTCAGCATATCGGTATCTAAATTAACTTGTATTTTTACCGCTTCTTTTTGCAAATGTTGAAAATTTTCTGTGGAATAGTGGCACGTATATAAACATAATGAATAATATTAATTTATAAATAATTTATTAATAATAAAACAATAAAATAAAAGATAAAGATATATTTTCTTTTTCCATGTTTTTAGAAATTCAACATATGTTTATTCAAAAACTATTTTTATTTCTCACTTTTACGTATCAACTTCATTTTTCAACCGAATTATTTTAAGAGGTTCAATTTCAATAGCTTTTTTTATAATGGTTTCAAACTATCATGTACGCATGTATATTTTATATTTTGTTATCAATTTTATCTATAATTTACAAATGGGATTTTTATGGGATTTTTTTATTTATTTGTATTATTAATAATTCTTACCTTTTCTAAATTTAATGTGATGTACTAAAACAGTTTGCACTTTTTCTGAAATTCGATTTCTAATATGACGTTTTTGACTCTTGCTAATATTTTCCGCTTCAAGTCTTGGCCAATCAATGATTTTATTTGCTTTTTGCAAAGAGAAAATAATTTCAGTATCCGTTAAAGTACATTCACTTTCCTCTTCAAGCACATTTTCCCATAGAAATAATTCCAAAATAAAAGGTAGAAAACTAATCTTCAATAAAAGTTGATTGTTATTTCGAGTATTGTTTTGAAGTACTCATACAAAATATTTTAATTTATCACACTCAACTAAAAATTGTGTATTATTTTGAAAGTATTAAAATTGTTATTAATTTAACATTAATTTTTTTATATATCTATGTATATATATATATATATATATATGAGTGTATGTGTGTGTATGTGTAATAATATTCATAAAAAATTTTTT